CATCCCTCGGAAAGGGGTGGGGCATGCCACTGAGAGGGGCGGGACACACTGCCGAAAGGGGGCGGGTGTGTTGTGGGAGGGGGTGGGGCATCGAGCCCCACAGGGTGAGCTTCGTGTTGGGATTGGAGAGAGGGCAGCTTCGGGGAGGAGCCTGAATGGCGGCTCGAAACCGTTCGTGGGGGAGGGACACAGCCTCTCGGGGTGTATACAGGCTGCGCGCTCGGAGGCCCGGAGCGGGGGGGGGGGGGGGGGGGGAGGGAGGAACCCGGGAGCAGTCCTGAGGAGGACAGTCTGGAGCAGGCCGGGGGTCCTGAGCAGAGGGCAGTGAGGGCAAACCGTTCGCGCGGAGTTAGTTACTGCGGAGGGAGGACAGTGGGAGTGGAGGGGGAGACGGCGAGGGGAACGCCGGCCGGAGCGGGGCAGGGCCATTGCGGGCCTCCCTCTGGAGAGGCCTGCGGAGGAGGAGCAGGGAGGAGAGGGAAAAGCCGCCCCTTGGGGGCTTGGGGGGTCTGAGGTTTGGAGGCTCGGAGGTGTGGCGGCGGAGGCTGTCTGGGTGCTGGGATCTAGCCGGGACCCTTGCTGTGTAGGTAGTGTAAATGAGCCTCTCTGGTCCACCTGTCGGGGCCCCGGGGCTGTCTCCTCTCCCAGGCCACAAGTCAGGAAGTGGGTCAAGAGCCCCTGTGGGGGAAGCCCCCTAACAGCTAGTCCGCAGCTGGCAGGAAATCCCGATGTTTGCGGGCGGACACGGCCGCGACTGCAGCCAGCCATCTTGGGAAGCTCAGCCGGGAGCCGCCAATCTCCTTAGCAGGTCGGCCCCGCCGCCGGTGACACCACCCAGCCTTCAGAATTGACTTTCCCGCCGTGTGATGGGATTTGCTGTGTGACGCCTAGAATGTCCCCGAAAACCCTACAGAACCCTGCTCCCTGAAGGGTGGCGGCTCTCCGCTCTGCCCCGCTGCGCCGGTGGCAGTTCGAGTCCAGGCTCAAATAAATGACGCTTACGTGCGTGCGTGCATCGGCATCGGCTCCGCGGCGGCCGCTGGGGACCCGCGATCTGGGCGGAACAGTGAGTGTGTGTGCGTGCACGCATATATACGTGTATATTATAAATGTGTTAACATATATAATGCATTATACATATTACATATAACATATAAATATACAATGCAAATATACAGTTATAATATATAATATACGTATATAGTTGTATAATATATATAATTATATATTTATATATTTGTATAATATATATAATTTTCCAAAAAGCTCTGAAGTGACTGGCCAAAGTAAGTTATCCACAGATCATGGACAAAAAAACAATGACACCCCCATTTTTTTCCTGAAATCCTTCATTAGTTTTAAAGTTTACTAAGGATAATCTCAATAAGTCTGTAATAGTTTAAATTGCTCTTTTAACTCAGGCTATTATCTAAAGAATTAAATCAGAAGCCAGGCACCGGTGGCTCACTCCTGCAAGCCTAGCTACTCAGGAGGCTGAGGATTGCAGCTGGTAGCCACCTCAGGCAGGAAGGAAAGTCCTGGAGACTCTTAACCTCCAATTAACCACCAGAAAAACGGAAGTGGTGTTTTGGTTCAAGTGGTAGAGTGCTCACCTTGACCTTAATGAAGAGCTTAGGGACAGCATCCAGACCCAGAGTTCAAGCCCCATGACTGACAAAAAATAATAATAATAATAAAATAAGAGAAAGAAGAAAATTTGATTTTCTCGCCAAGAAAATCAAAGTCCTCCACGTTCAATCACTCTTCACTATGGTTCTTTCCCCAAATGCTTGCTTAACTATCTCAGAATTTTCTGCATGCTCTCATTGTGCTTATTTTTATGAATTAAAAGTATTTTTCACATTTTTATTACATATTGAGTTATTTTTAAGCTTCACATGTACTTTGAAGTATTTTAAATAATCTCAATTATTCCTCCTCTGTTCTGTAGAATAAAGTACCTTTGTATTTATGTCATTAATATTTCCATTATCAAATGTCCCATTTTGTGTGTTCTTTAGAACAATTTTCCAAAATATTCTTAAGTACAGAGAAAAAAAAAGATCTCTTCCCTAATCCCTGTATTCTGAAGAGATGGTATTGTTCAACTAAAACTGGTTCTATACAAAACTTGTAAGTAACACCTATGTTCCTAGAATAGGTCTGCCTCAGTCTAGATTTTGCACATTTATTTCTCAGTGGTACTTGGATAGGACCTAAATGGGCATCTGTATAGAATTCGTTATAGCTTGATTGCACAGGTGAGAGGACTGAGAATCCTCCCAGCATGGCTTTAATAGTCAATCATGTTCAAGGTCATAGTATCAGCCCTACAAATTCAATGCCATTTTCTAACTTCTTCAAACTTTTCTAACTTTTATCAAACATAGGTCATGATGTTTAATGGAACATATTAAGCTTTTTATCTTATTTGATGCAAAGATGATTTTCCACAGACAATTTAGCTGAATGGATGGAAGTGCCTAAGTTGAAGTGTATTTGCCATTGTGACAATAGAAAGAAATAGGAGCTTTAGGAAGCAGCTCATGATTCATAGCTCTGCCTCTGTGAACAGATGCCCTGGTTATCCTGGGATTGATTAGTGATTTGGGAATGGGTTGTTATTAAGAAGTTGGCAAACTATTGGCCTGACTGACTCTTGTGAGTCATTTGCTTGAGTCTCTCGTGAGCTCATTTGCCATTTGCCATGTTAGGACCCAGCATGAAAGCCCTTGCCAGATGGCAGTGTACGGACCATACTTCTAGACTTCTCAGCCTCTAGAACTGTGAGAAATAAATTTATTTTCTTTAAATTACCCAGACGTAGGACTGAAGGGGTATAGCTCAGTAGTAGAGCTCTTGACTGGCAGATGGTAGGCCCTGATCACAAAAACAATTACCAGTCTTAAATATTTTGTTATAGTAAATGTGCCAAAATAGCTAATACTATATTAGAACCTTTTAGGTTATTCACTTCAGCTTTTGGGAGAGACAGGGACTTGTACTACTGGAGGGTGAGCCCAGCGCCTTTTGTATATACTAGACAAGCACTCTTACTGCTGACCTACATCCCTAACCCTAGGTGCTTTAACCTTTCATTGTTAACATCTGAAACAAATCTTGGCTAATGCAGTTTAACAAACTCAGCAGGTGCCAGAACTTGAACCTGGGCTGCCTCCAAAGAGCCATCACACATATTGTCTTTTCAGTACCTTTGGAAAACCGTAAGAGAGAATCCTTCAATATTTTTACTGGACAGAAGTGATAAATGACATATGTGATTTTAGAGATTCTGCAGTCCACTTTTACAAATTATAATTGTAGTAAATAAACCCAGGTTTATAGTTGTATTAGTTTTCACTTAGTGCTGTAATCAAAATTTAATGGGTAAAGACAGCACATACTTCTTTTGTTAGAGGTCTGAAAGCTAGCAGTCCAAAGTGAGTCTTTCATGACTAAAACTAAGGGGAGTTCATTTCTTTTGGCAGCTCTCAAGAAAAACATGTCTTTTGCATCTTTCTGTTTCTGGCTTATATTGTCTTCTCTCCTTCTGTTCTGAATTCTCTCCTGCCTTCCTTTTATTATAAGAATTCTTGTGATGAAATTTAGGGCCCAGCTACATAATCCAGGATCATCTCTCCATCTCAAGATTATTTTGGCCAGTTCTGGGGCTGTTGGGTCTTCGTCCTCCCATGACAGACAGACAGGGTCCGAGGAAAGGTAAGTGCAGCTGCTCGACTGTTCCCCAGCCTCCCTCAGCCCGGGAGACAATCAGACACAACAGGGAGGCAAGTCAAGCAGGAAGAAACTCGTTTATTAACACAGAGCAGCCCTTTTTAAAGCAAAAAAAGAGCTGGTGGCATGGCAGGGGAGGAAGAGGAACCAATCACTGTCAAGGTCACACCCTATCATGCACCTAAGCTTCCATGGGCTGGTTACACACTGAACGGAAAAAAAATTGGGCTCTGCCCACTCTACTCCCTCTCAACGCCATCTTTGCTGCCCATGTGCTCTACAGTAAATCGGGCTCTGCCCACTCAACTCCCTCTCAGCACCATCTTTGCTACCCATGTGCCCTACATGGGGCCTGAACTCAGGGCCTGGGTACTGTCTCTGAGCTGCTTTTGCTGAAGGCTAACACTCTACCACTTGAGCCAGAGCATAACTTCTGGCTTTTTCTGTTTATGTGGTACTGAGAAATCAAATGCAGGGCTTCATGCATGCTAGGTAAGCACTCTACCACTAAGCCACATTTCCAGCCCCTCAAGATTCTTAATAACATCCACAAAGGGATTTTTTTTTTTTTTGGCCAGTTCTGGGGCCTGAATTCTGGGCCTGGGCACTGTCCCTGAGCTCTTCAGCTCAAGGCAAGCGCTCTACAGCAGCACCACTTCTGGTTTTGTGGTGGTTAATTGGAAATAAGAGTCTCATGAACTTTCCTGCCCAGGCTGGCTTTGAACCATGATCCTCAGACCTCAGTCTCCTGAGCTTCGAGGATTACAGGTGTGAACCACTGGTGTCCAGCTCAAAGGGATTTTTTTTTTTTTTTTTGCATTGTAAGTTAACAGTTACACATCCTGATCCAGAGGATCAGGATGAGGCTATCTTTGGGTTCAGCCTATCATGGCAGCATTCATAAAGCAGGAGGAATCAGGTTGCACAAAGCAAATGCAGAAGTAAATAAAAGAGTTGTTGATATATTCATGGTCATTGGCTAAATCTGTTAAGGGTTGCTAAAAGTTGATATTTTTATTACCATTCATTTTTTAGTCATTTGTGGAATACTCAGTCACAGGCAAATCATCCCTCATCAACCCGTTAGTTAACATGTTGGAATGATACTTTAAATGTGTTTTAATTCATTAGATGTATTTTAATTTATTATTAATTTTTATTATATTTGTGCTCAAATTTTCTTCTCTTTGGCCAATGGGAGTTTGATTCCCAAACCTCTTGACTGTCTCCATGGTCTTTATAGCTTCTTTGCTTTTTTACATGACTCATCTTGCAATTGTATATTTCTTTCCCTGACTTGGACTTACCACTTCTTCCAAAGAGCCATATTTCCTGGCATTAAAAATGGCATGTAAGCCAGGCACTGGTAGCTCACACCTGTAATCCTAGCTACTCAGGAGGCTGAGGTCTGAGGATCACAGTTCAAAGCCAGCCTGGGCAGGAAAGTCCGTGAGACTCTTATCTCCAGTTAACCACCACAAAACCAGAAGTGGCACTGTGGCTCAAGTGGTAGAGCACTCACCTTGAGCTGAAGAGCTGAGGGACAGCACCCACTCCCAGAGTTCAAGCCCCATGACCAACCAAAAAAAAAAAAAAATGGCATGCAGACACAAAATCTGGCCAGGTAACATTTTATGGCTATTGAAATGGCACTGTTTCTTTGAGAGATTTGAAAGCTGGATAATATTTTTAAGTGACAAAGGTATGTTATGAGTTTATTAAATCAATATTCCAAGTTTAAATCAGAAACATAGAGGCTCCTTACCTAACTTCATTTATTTTATGTCTGTTATGTCCTTTGAAGAACTATAGTTCTTCAAATCCATTATCAGGACACATGCACATACACATGCACAGATTTGTTCATTTGTACTTTAGGTGAAAACAGGTGTGCTCTCCTGGGTGCTGTCCTGGGGTATATCATTTTTAAGCCCATGGAAACCACATTCATACAGGAGCAGCAGGTGACATCTTTGAACTCTGACAGCAGTACAAATTTCCTGTTGAGAAAGTAGCCATCAGTTTAGATATTAGTGTAACTAGAATCTTCTTGGTTTATGCCTGTCAGCCAGAATTTTTCTAGATATAACATTTGTCTAGTTTTTTATTTGCCTAGTTTTTTATTAATCAATTCTTATTACTGTTAGTTGTACTGAAATAGGTTTATTAGAGCTCTACTTTGTATTTCCAGCTTAGTATCATGGTCTTAGAGTATACAAGTAATTATTTACAATGTTTCAAGATTCTCACTTAGTACGTGTTTACACTTGAGAAAACTGCCTGTGAAAACCTTAATTATATCCTACCTCTTTTTTCTAGATCCTTGTAAGGTTCAATATAACTACCTCCTTTGCAAGGAGAACAGACCAGAGCTTTACTAATAAAACAAACTGTTCTAGCTTTTGGGCAAGGAACAGCCTGCTCCTTCCTGTCTTGTGTTATTGGAAGCAGCTTCCTAATGCTACTGCCCTTGCTAGTTACTAAATGTAACTGCTCATTGTGCTGTGGCCTTGACTTGCAAGGTAAATGAAGCAGGGTCAACAAAAACTGTGGAAAGATACTTGATAGAGACTAAGCTGTTCTACCAAAGTTAGGTAGGGCCTGCTCACTCTGTTGGGTTTTTTTAAATAACATATGAAAGGACTAGCTCACACTTACAAGGAGTGGGTAAACTCAGGAAGGATCATGAACTAAGGGGAGTTTGAGATAAAAAACAAGACCCTATCAGCAAAAGTAAGGGTTGGAGGCATTACTCAAGTAGTAGAATACCTGCAAAGCGTATGAGTGCATGAGTTCAAACCCCAGTAGTGCCCCCAAAAGATCACATACAAATTTACAAGTTAATGGGATTCACTGCAATATTCTCATACATAGTTCCTATCTATTCACCTTTCCTCTATCCTTACCACCCACCCAGCACCTTTCCAATCACTGTGCCACTCTTTATTTGTTTTTAATTCCCACTTACAACAGAAAATATATGTTGGGACTAGGAAGGTGGCTCAGTGGTAGAGTGCTTGCCTTGCATGCATGAGGCCCTCGGTTCAGTTCCTCAGGACCACATAAGCAGAAAAGGCCGGAACTGGCACTGTGGCTCAAGTGATAGAGTGCTAGCCTTGAGCTGAAGAGCTGAGGGAAAGTGCCCAGGCCCAGAGTTCAAGCCCCACAACCGACAAAAAAAAAAAAAAAGGCTAGAAGTTAGGCATAGCTCAAGTGGTAGAGCACTAGACCTATGCAAAAAAGCTAAGCAAGAATGCAAGGTCCTGATTTCAAGCCTCAGTATCAGCACAGGGAGAGACAGAAAGAGAGAGACAGAGACAGAGAGAGACAGAGACACAAAGACACAGAGATAGAGACAGAGACTAACTTCACAGACATAGTAAGCAGAAGGAAGAATGTTTCAGTGACTGGAGGAGAAGATAGTGGGGTGGAAGTTACAAAAGAAAATAATTCTGGAATTTGCTTGCATGTCATATACCAACCACTACTGACTGGTTAAGGTGTTTGATCCATAATGCTTTAGGAAAAAATGGCAAAGAGGGTAAAATTTTATGTATATAGATATATGTGCATTTTACCATGATTAACATTTTTAATTAAAAAAATAATGCTGGTGGTAGATGAATGGATCAAGAAGATGTGGTATATATACACAATGGAATTCTATGCCTCCATCAGAAAGAATGACATTGCCCCATTTGTTAGGAAATGGAAAGGCTTGGAAAAAATTATATTAAGTGAAGTAAGCCAGGCCCAAAGAAACATAGGTCCCATGGTTTCCCTTATTTGCAATATCTAGTATAGGTATGAGTCAAGCGGAAAAAGTCAGATAATGTGATGTTAGGAAAATAAAACCTCAAATATGTATTTTAATGTTTTTGTTTCTTTCATGCATGTGTTTCTAATGCATTTATAAGATTATTTCTTTGTTGCTTTGTGTGTCCCTCCCCCACAGTGTAACCCCTGCTTTCACTATATTTGATGTCAGTATAACATGTGGAGGAGACGGGGACAAACAAGTCGTTTAAGGATTCAGGTGGACCTGTTGCAACAATGAGAAGTACAAAATGTCATGTCAAAACCAGCTTTACAATGTCGGTGGGGGGGGGGGGAGGGGAGGTATGATTGGGTGGGAGGGAGGGGGGAGGCTGGGAAGGGAGGTGAAGGGTAAACAAAGGAGGAGGATGCAATGCTTGGTAAGAAATGTATGCATTATCCTGCCCATGTAATTGTAACCCCTCTGTACAGTATGTTCTCAAATAAAATAAAATAAAATTTAAAAAAAAAAAAAAATAATGCTGGTGGTAGATGCCTATCTTCCTAGCTTCTCAGGAGGCTGAGATTTGAGGATCACAATTCAAAGCCAGCTGGCATAGAAAAGTCACCAATTAACCAAAAAAGTGGAGCTGACTCAAAGTGGTAAAGTGACCAAAAAAACTCAGGGACAGCACCCATGGCCTGAGTTCAAACCCATGACTGACAAAAAAGTAATAATATAGATCTATACAAATATTATTCACATACTATATCACTGTTAACTTCCTTGTTTAAATGTTATACTATATTTATATAAGATGTAACCCTGAGGACCACTTGTTAAAGATACAAGGGACCGCTCAATCTTTGCAGCAATCTTATGCCTGTATTGAGAGGAGGAGAAGCAAGAGGAGGAAAAGGAAAAGGAGGAGGAGGAGGAGGAGGGGGAAGAGGAGGAAGAAGAAGAGAAGGAAGAAGAGGAAGAGGAAGATAAAGGAGGAGGAGGAAGAAAAGAGAAGGAGGAAGAGGAAGAAGAAGAAGAAGATAGGAGGAGGAGGAAGAGAAGGAGGAAGAAGAAAAGGAGGAGGAGGAGGAGGAAGAAGAAAAGAAGAAGAAGAAGAAAGGAGGAGGAGGAAGAGAAGGAGGAAGGAGAAGGAAGAGGAGGAGGAGGAGGAAGAAGAAGAAGGAGGGGCTGGGAAGGTGGCTCAGTGGTAGAGTGCTTGCCTTGCATGCCTGAGGCCCTGGGTTCGATTCCTCAGCACCATATAAGCAAAAAGAAAAAAAAGCCGGAAGTGGGCTGTGGCTCAAGTGGTAGAGCACTAACCTTGAGCTGAAGAGCTGAGGGACAGTGCCCAAGCCCAGAGTTCAGGCCCTACGACCGGACCAAAAAAAAAAGAAGAAGGAGGAGGAGGAGGAGGAGGAGGAGATGGAGAAGGAGGAGGAGGAACAGCAGCAGCAGCAACAACATAAGAAGAACAAGAAGAGAAGAAGGAAACTATAGACCAGCAAGTCAATTTAGTTCAATTTCTTGGACCAGCACAACAGACTTTATGAACACAGAGATTAAAGTGATTAACCACAGCCTATCAAGAGGATAACTTTGATCAGAAAGACTCACAAGCTGGGACCCAGCAGGACCAACTAATCCATGTAATGATTATTGCAAGTTATTACCCTTCAAGGGAGGTTGAATTAATGAGATTTCCCTTTGGCATGATGCTTTACCAGTGGCTTACTACTGAGCAGTCCAAATAATAGTTTTCCTATCTGACAAATGTCTCCTAAAATACAGTCCTCATTCATTCCATGCATATCATTCAATATCAGCTTTAAAGTGACAGACTTTCCTTTTAAATTCAGACACAATGCCTACTCTATTCCTTAGAAAAACATTAGTCTTTAGCACTGCTTCTAATACCTAGAGCCTACAAAAATCTAAAAGTTGTAGATACCAGTCTGTCTCATTACTAACTCTCTTCATTTGTCCTAGGTATTTTATTATACTGACAAAAAAACTGACTAACAGGTCCTTTGCAAAGGCCAGGTGACATACATACTTGTTAGTCCAGGCTACACAGGAAGCACAGATATGAAGACTTCAGTCCAAGGACATCCCTGGGTAAAAACATAATTAATGCAAAATAGAGCAGAAATGTGGCTTAAGTGGTAGAATGCCTGCCTAGCAAGTACCAGGCCCCGAGTTCAAACCCCAGTAGTTGCCCCCAATTCTTAAATGAAGGAGTTAGAGGTGATGATATGATTTGGTGTGATTCTATAATCTGTGATTCAAATCCAGAAATCTCCACTGCAGTGAGTACTTCTGGAACTCCTGGTTGCTTATTTCTGAAAATGGCTATCACTTAAGATTAGGTATAAAGAGCTCTGCTAAGGAAGGTCTCTTCTTTTCTAATGGGCTATATCTTCTTTCAACCAAGGGTTGGGATGCAACCTACAAAGAGAAATATTTCCATATTCATCATGACAAACACCCCTAATAAAGGACCCAATATTCAGGCTTATAAAAGATAGAGTAGGTTTCCTGTCTTGCATAGTTTCGTAGTATACATTTGAAAATTTGAAAACCTTGGCATAGTGATAAACAGGTAGTCCTAGCACTTGGGAGTCAGAAGCAGGAGGATGGTGAGTCTTGAGTACAAAGTGAGTTCATGATCAGCCTGTTCTTACAAAAACAAATAACAACAACAAACTGTGATGTCTAGACTCTAATCAAGGATGGGATGATAAGGGAAAAACAAAGGAAGAGGCAACAATGCTGGATAAGAAATGTACTCATTACCTTGCTAATGTAACTGTAACTCCTCTGTACAGTATTTTCACAATAAAAAACATTAAAAAAAAAAAATCAAAAAGCACCAGGCACCAGTGCTCATGCCTATAATCCTAGCTACTCAGGAGATCCGTAGATCTCCTGAAGCTACTACTGAGATCTGAATGTTGAGGTTCAAAGCCGGCCCAGGCAGAAAAGACCCCATGAGACTGTGATCTTCAATTAACACTCAAAAACTGGAAATGGAGCTATGACTCAATGTAGTAGAGCACTAGCCTTGAGGAGCTCAGGTACAGCGCCCAGGCCCTGAATTCAAGCCCCCTTACTGACCAAAATAAATCAAAAAGCATAATTCTTGAGTGTTTAAAAGTTAAAATTATGAAATTCTGTTGATGCCTTTTTAGGACCAACTACAGTAATGAGTTCTCTTTCCATCTTCCAAGAAGCGCTCCTCAATCAATATGCAAACAGAAATAATATATTAACCTCAAGTTATAGAAACTATAGCTTCAGAATTCAATAACTTGCCCAAGGTGAGAGTAGAAAATTTCAACAGAAAACAAATATGAGAAGTAGTGACAAAAACCAGAATTTAAAACTTACATATAAATGTGATTGAAAATAAAAACAGGAAAACCATAAACATAAAAGACCTTAGAAGCCAGAGGCTGGTGCTTCACATGTGTAATCCCAGCTACTCAGGAGGCTGTGATACAAGAATTGTAGTTCAAAGACAATCCATGTAGATATGTCCAATAGACTCATTGCCAGTGAACCAGCAGAGAGCCAGAAGAGGACACATGACTCGTTAATCTTTTTTTTTATAATTTTTTATTGTGAAAATACCGTACAGAGGGGTTACAATTACATGGGCAAGGTAATGAGTACGTTTCCAAGTTAATCTTGTATCTTCAAAGTCATCCAATTAGCAATCTTAATTCCACCTGTAACCTTTGTCTCCCTTTGCCACAAAACAACATATAAGTGACAAAAATTACATCACAAACGTCTTTAACCCTCTCAGTGTACCTGTTATGCACTGAGAGGTTTGAAAACTATTGAATAAATTTATGCTAAATAGAAAGCTAGGCCTTGAGGAATTTCTTTTCCATTTCTCTCTCTCTCTCTCTCTCTCTCTCTCTCTCTCTCTCTCTCTCACACACACACACACACACACACACACACACACACACACACACACACACACACATGCAAACACACACACACTTTTGTTTCTGTTGATCATGCTGGAATTTGAACTCAGGGCCTCACACCTACACTAATTATGTTCTACCCCTTGAGTCATGCTTCCAGCCTTGCGTTTTGCTAGTTAAAACTCCTTTTGTTTTGTTTTTGGTGCTTTACAGGGGCATGAACTCAGGACTTCAAACTCTTCTTCAGCTTTTTCCACACAGTGCTGGTGGCATACCACTTGAGCTTTGCCTCCACTTCCTTGTTGGCTATTTGGAGATGGAGTCTCATGGACTTTTCTTCCCAGGCTAGCCTTTAACCACAATACTATGGCCTTCTGAGTAGCTAGGAACACAAGCATAAGCCACTGGCATCTAGCTTATCTTACCAGTATTTATGAAGATGTTAGGCACAATTTAGATGATGGAGATAAAAAAGAAAACAGGACAAACTTGTTTCTCTACATTGAATTTTCAGTACCGCAGCTCATGGCTATATTCTTAGACACAGTGAGTTCATAAGAGAAATCACTTGCAATTATTTTTTCTCATCCAATTTGTGTTTTAAGGTTACACAGTCACAAAATGGTTCAATGGCTTTCATTTCTTCTCTATTCTGGAATATTTCATGTAAGATAAGATTTACACTTCTTCTCTAAAAGTGTTTATGTGTGGGCTATCCCCACCCCCTCCTTCTTTGACGGTTTTCATTTCAATTAAATTTCTTTAACAGTTATTACCCAATTCAGATTTCCGGATTGTTGGGGGTTTTATATTTTGAATATCTGCCAACTTCATGTAGGTTTTGAAAGTTATTCTACATGATTGGTCATAATACGTGTTTATATCATAAGTCAGCTGTACATTTTTGTCTCTCCCTAGGTTGCTTGGTTGCTTTTCTTCTGCCAAAGGTCTCTCTAGCAGAATTATCTTTGATTTCATTAATAACATCCAATGTTTATATTTTCTTTATTCTCCATTATTATTTCCCACTTCCATTTCTCTGCTATATTTATGAGTCTTCATAACCCTTAGTCCTTAGTTTATTTCCCCTGTGCTTTCCACAAAATATACTTAGGTCTATATATTTCCTCTTAGCTATTACTTGTATTGCCTGAATTTTCACATACATTATTTCATGATATTATTCAATTATATTTTTTTGATTTTTCTTATAATAGTTGGGTAAAAATATATTTAACCAATTTTTTTTAACTTTTTACAATTTAGACCTCAAGTTGCTATTGATTTCTAACTCTTTTTCATGTATTAAAAAGGCATAATTTGCCTGACGTTGGTTCTTCAGAATTTACTGTTGTTTGGTTTTGAGGGGATCATAGCTCATACAAACTTTTTATGAATGCTCTGCCCAGAATGAAAAAGAATTTATATTCTTTGTTGACTCCAAAATCCTATGTATTTCTTGAGCCTAAATTCATTATGATAAATTATTAATATAATTATGAGTTGCATTTCATGTTTGACAAGGTTCTGAGAATTGTGGGTAAATCTTCAAATAGAATTAATTTGTCTATTTCTACTGCCTTATCAGTGATTGCTTCTTGTTCACATGTGCATTTTGTGAGGGTCTTGTTTTCTCCATATCTGTTTGCTATGTTCCTTTTGTTCTTGCTGATGCTTTTCACCTTGAATTAAACTTTATCAGGTGTTAAAATGGCTTCTCCCAAGTTTTGTTCATAAAGTCTAGCATATCTTTTTTATGTGGCTATTTCCTATCCTTTTATATTCTATTCTTTTAAATAAGCCTTCTGTAAATTCTTTTAATTTTTTGTCTGTTTTTTTGTTTGTTTGTTTGGTTGGTTGGTTGGTTGGGTTTT